TCTATTTTCTAGTAAATTAAAATCCTTTGAAATACACAGCCATGCAAAAAGTACAATTTATTTGGATTTTCTATATCTATTTTTAAGTGAGTACTTTGCTAATAATGCTTGCCACTAGTGATGAATTTTTTTTTTTTCCAAATCCCTTGGTGTCTGTCTTAGCCCATTATATGGCTGTAATAAAATATCATAGATTGGGTGGCTTATAACCAGCAGAAATGTATTTCTCATGGTTTTGGAGGCTGGGGAATCCAAGATCAAGGTGCTGACAATATTTGGCGTTTGACAACAACCTACTTGGTTCATAGAGGGTGTCTTCTTACTACTATGTCCTTACATGGTGGAAGGGATAAGACAGCTTTCTGAGGACTTTCTGGTAAGGATACTAATTACATTAATGAAGGCTCCATCTTCATGTGATTTAATCACATCCCAAAGACCTCCATATCTGGATACTGCTACACTGGTAATTGGATTTCAACACATAAATTTTGGATGGCCACAATCATTCAATCCAGAGAAATATCAAATGTCTCAGTTGACCCTTGCAGTAGCAGCCTCCTGAGGTGAGGGTGGCAAGTACTCGGACAAGAGCAGACATGGAAGCAGAGAACCAGTAGATCTACCTCCTGATACTACTCTGAGGCTGAGACAAAAACTGCACTTGAACAGATTGCTGAGCCCAGCAGCCCCAGGACCCCTGGACCCTGCCACTTGCCCATTACAACAGCTAGGACCTCATTTGTTTTTATCTTAAACATCATCAACCTGCAGGTTAAACAGGCTGATTATTTCTGACCTGACTGGATCACCAGTGGGACCTAAGATTATACTAGTTGCTGACCAGGAGCTGTGCTCACCAATGAGGAGGGTAGGATCACATATGAGTTCATTCACTTTATTAATAAGTATTAATTGAGTACTACTATGTCCCAGACACTGACATAGGCACCAGAGATACCATAATGATTAAGACCCAGATATCATCCTCAAGGAATTTGAATATAGTATCAGAATTGTTAAATAATTTCCAAATTAATTGTCATTGTGAAAGTTAAAAAAAAAAAAGCACAGGAGCTACAGGAAAAATAATAGAGAACTTGTCTTAGTCCAGACTGCTGTAAGAAAATAACAAACTGGCTGGCTTACAAACTACAGAAATTTATTTCTTACAATTCTAGGGACTGGAAATTGAAAACCAGGAGCCAGCATGGTTGGAAAATAGTGAGACTCTTCTTGTAGGTTATAGACTGTTAACTTTTTATATCTTCACTTGGCTGAAGCTCTGGCCCCCTCTTTAAAGGCTCTAATCCCATTCATGAGGGCTCTACCCTGTTGACCCAGTTACCTCCAGATACCATCACACTGGGATTAGGGCTTCAACGTTTGGATTTTCAGGGAATAGACTGTTACCCAATCTGTAGCAGAACCCAGCCTAATCTCAGGTATGGATGTGAGGAAAATAGTGTGAGATGAGATCAGAAAGTCAGGTAGAAACAAGATCACAGAGGCCTTGATGACTAAGCTTTTTAGGGGTCTACAATTTAATTCCAGGTACAAGAGCACCACTGAAGGGAAGTAATGTGATCTGGTTTGCAGGTTTAAAACTACTGTGCTTGGGACCAGCAGATGGTAGCAGTTACATCGCTAGACTCCCACATGGCCTACTGTGTTAGAGTCCTGTACCCAGTAAATTGAAAAACACATTGGGCATGTGTGCATACATGCCCAAGATCCTATGAGGAGAATGGAGGAAAAGGGATTTTGTTTCTCACTATCCTCACTGTCTGTGTCGCCCACCCCTTCTCTCCTCCAGTGAGTGCACATGCCCTAAAGCAAAACAAACACTACTGTGCTTGCTCAAAAGGACTGAAGCAGGCTAAGGGTGGTTGTGAGAGACCACATGGGAAGGGCAATTGAGACGAGATCCAACTAAACTGCTTTAGGGCTGTATCTTCCTATCTGTCCATTCCAAGTATGGTGCCCTTAGGCTTTTTCATCAGTCTCTGGCCGAAACAGCTGTGGCTAAGGCAGCCAGTGATATCATAGAAATTTAGGCAGGAGAGAATGACTTTAGTTGACATTTTTCTTTTCTTTCTTTCTTTTTCCTTTTTTAAGAGAGATTTTTGCTATAGGGCGTGTGTACTAGCTGAAGAGAGAGAAACAGACAGATAGAAAGCGAGAAATTGTCCCCCTGGGGGATGGCAATGCTGCAATCCCTTCTCCTCAAGTCTCCTTTAAGGACTTTGGGCACACACACACACATACACGCATGCACTCGGTGTGAGTTTTAAGCCACCAGGTCTGGAACTCAAACCGCCAGGTCCAGGCCTCAACCTACAATTGGCTCCATGGGAGTCCAGCAATGTAACCATTACACCATCTGCTGGTCCCTTTTTTTTTTTTTTTTATCTTTTTAATTTGCCAGAGGTTGCACACACTCATCAGATAGAGACAGGGAGACAGAGAAAGTGGGATACAATGTTTGACATATTTTAGCCACTAGGTCCGGGACTCAAAACTGCATCATTGGCCATGTGGGATACAGCTCCTTAACCACCAGGCAGGCCACAGGATGGCCCAGTTGGCACTTTTCAGAAGCAGTGCCTTTTTGTACCAGGCACCTAGGTGTTCATGGGCTCTTACATTTTAAATCCAATAATTTAACCTAATAATCCCAGTAATTTAGAAGATTCTTAACTTTTTTAGTATTCTACTCTATGCCAAGTTCTTTTTAAAAAGTTTGTCAGAGAATATGTGTGCTTGCCCAAGAGAGACAAAGAGAGAAAACGAGAAAGCACCCACCATGAGGTATGTTCACATTGCAATCCCTTCTGCTCTATTTCTCCTTCCTTTCAGGATTTAAGGCATGCACACACACACATGCCCAGCAAGTTTCTCAAGCCATTGGGTCTAGGACTCAAACCACATGGTCAGCCATGCAGGATCCAGCCACCTTAACCATAAGACCACAGGCTGGCCCAAATTTTTTTTTTTTTTTTTAACTGTACGATCTCATGTAAGCTTCACAGTCACCCCTAAGCTAGTTTGTACTATCATTCCATTAAGTCTAGGCTAGGGCTGTGCATTAAAGTTTTTTTTTTTAATGAAATCCGGCTTTTTTTTTTTTTTTAAAGAGATTTTTGCTATAGGGCATGTGTGTTTGCTAGAGAGTCAGACAGAGATTTTAGAAAGCGAAAAATCACCCCCAAGGGGGTATGCTCATGCTGTGATCCCTTCTCCATTCTCCTCTCAGAATTTTGGACACTCACGCACATGTGCCTGGCATGAGTTTTAAGCCACCTGGTCCAGGACTGGTCGACTACATGGGAGTCTAGTGACGTAACCATTACACCATCTGCTGGTCCCTCTGCATAAGAGTTTAATGAAGGGAACTGAAATCACTTTAGTTATTTTAAGTAGAAAGGGATTTATAACAGGAATAAGCTGCTTACGTACCCATTGAAATGACTGGAGAAGAGGAAGCTGCTGAGCTTCTGGTCTCAAGATTACGCCGTCATGGCTAAGATCCAAAGTGTGACTCATCACTGTCATTCTGGCACCATTTTCTGTCAGGCTGTCACTACTGTCACTGCCACCCAGCATACTGTGGGGGTCTGGTCACTGCTGGCAACCCCATTTGCCAGAGCCCATTTATTAGCCTGAAGCTTCATGGAAAGGTGGCAAAGTAATGTTGCCTTTTTTCCACTTCCTGAATCTTACATAAGGTTCTGAACACAATTGGCAGAACCAATTCACATCTAGAAGCCTGATTACATGGAGACCTGGGAAATGTATTCCCAGCCTTCCAACTCTTTCCACATAAGAGAAGAGAAAGTTTGAGAGAGCCTATTTACATATCCAGTATACAGAGGAGACCCAAATTGTTTTCTGCAGTCTCTTATTTAGATTGTGGTATAATTTTCACATAAAATCGCACAGATTTTAAACACAGAGTTTTATGAGATTTGCAAATGCATATGCTCATGTAATCTATTCAGTCAACAAATAGGCTGGACAGTGGCATAGTGGTAAAATGTGATACTCTTTGAGGCTGATCCATGTGGGAAAGTTCTGGGTTTACACGTAGAGACCTTCCTGAGTATGCTGGGCTCACATGTGCCCATGATCTGGGGCTAGCTGAGACTGGGAGTAGATGACAGTATGAAGACCATATTTGGGATTCCGTGTCTCTCTCTCCCTCCCTCTCTGTGTGTATCTCTCTATCTCACTGACCAGAAGAAGTAAATAATTTAAAAACCCACAAAGAACATTCCTATCATGCCAACAAGTTCCTTCATGACTGCTTCAGTCAATTCTCCCTGTTTCCTGTTCATAGACAGGCATTGTTCTAATTTCATCTATTGGTTTTCTGTCATAATCACAGATTAATATTGCCTATTCTAGCATTCAAATAAGTAGAACCATGAAATAGGTCTTTTGTGTCTCATTTCTTTTGCTCACAATAATATGAGATTCAACCATATTTTATGTATGAATAGCTCAGTCCTGTTTTAATACTGAGTAGTATTGCATCGTATGAATATATCATCCTTTTATTAGTAGATCAACATTCACATTTTTTTCTTTTTCTTTTCTTTACTTTCTTTCTTTTTTTTTTTGAGAGATTTTTGCTATAGGGCATGTGCGCTCACCAGAGAGACAGAGAGACAGAAAGTGATAAATCACCCCACCAGGGGGGATGGCCACACTGCAGTCCCTTCCCCTCCATTCTCGGGATCTTGGGCATGCACGCACATGCACCCAGAGTGAGTTTAAGCCACCAGGTCCAGGACTTGAACCGCGGTTGACTACATGGGAGTCTAGCAACATAGCCATTACGCTAACTGCTGGTCCCTACAAGAGGTTCTTAAAGGTATCTACTAGAATCACATAGATGTCTAGTAGTAGTCTAGACTTCGGGTACAGTGTGATCAGGGCTTTCAGTTAATTCCGATTTGGTTGTCCTGACTCTTCTTGTATGTTTTATCTGTCCTCAGTCTGATTTCCCTAATGATTTCAAGATGGATGCAGGCAGCAACTGCAGCTTCATTTTACATATATCAGGTAAGAGGTACCAAATTCTTAGTGGTGTCTTTTAAGGCCAAGAAAGAACTATCCTATAAGTCTTCTGCAACCAAGTTTTTGTATCTTATTGGATAGAATTAAATTATATGTTCATTCCTGAACTAATAACTGATTGACTTATAACAGTCAGTCCACCTGGATTTAGCTTCTTTCAGTTGCAAATACTGCTTGAGGAAGAGCTAGGTGCCTTCCTCTTGTTTTCTTCACAAGGATGAAAGGGGAGATTGGATTTTGAGAAGAAAACTATCAAAATCCTATTCTGTGCATTATTCTCCATCAGTAACTTCTGAGACACTGCTTTGCATTTTGCTTGTAGATACTTTGTAACTGAGGTTATGTTTGGCTCTACATTGACAGTTGAAAGCTGAGAGGTAAATTTATGGCCCATTCGTAGAAGATGCACAAAACACTGTGGTATTTATTTTTGGATTAGCTTCTTTAAGCTCCTATTCTTACATTTATTTTGCCTCATTTTTCTTGCCCATTTCTAATTTTTTTCTCTATTTTATATATTTTTGTTAAACTATATTAATTTTTAAAAATTAAAAAGGTATAGGTACATGAAATACAAATATTTTGTTCATGGTATGCTTCCTCACCTTCCCATTATTTTACTTTGTCAGTAGATACCAAGTACAAATAGCAGTATTTAATGGGCAGTTACCTTGTGCTGGACTAGGTCCTGAGGACTTGTGTTATATCATTGTGTCTTTATAGCAATCCTATGAAGTAGAATTATTATTATTGTTACTGTATTAAGAAAAAGAAAAATGAGGCATAGAGTAGTTAATTACCTTACTTGAAGTGACTAAGTTGGAGTTGAGACCCAGATTCTAATGTGTGAAAACTTCATGAGACATGATGCAAAATATTATTTACTCTATATTCCTGGCATTTCTTCACAATAGGGCAGTTGAGAAAGCTAGATGAGAGATCAGCAGATGGCATAATGGTTCCACTGTTGGACTCCCACATGGCTGACTGTGGTTCGAGTCCCAGACCCAGCAGCTTGAAACTTAGGCCAAGTGCGTGTGTATGCGTACCTAAAATCCCAAGAGGAGAATGGAGGAGAAGGGATTGCCATCAGTGGGCCCATGCCCCCTAGGGTGTGATTTTTTGCTTTCTGTCTTTTTGTGTTTCTCTGTCTCTCTGGTAAGCACACTTGCCCTATAGCAAAAATCTCTCTAAAAAAATAGAGAAAGCTAGATGAGTTATTGCAGTACGTGCTTGGTAAACTAAAAGACCTCCTCATGTTAGTGAGCAGAGGACAACCCTACCCCACTGCTTGCCAGAGTAGAACAAAGGGCAGTGGCCCAAACTGGGTTCTCCACTCTAGCAGTTTCCTTACCTTTCTTCATCTGTCTCTCATTCCTTCTCATTTAAACTGTTGCTCATTTGCCAAAAATGGAAACACCTCAGCTAATTTAGGTACCTTCTCAATCTGACGAAGAGTCTGTCGTCTTCTTTTCTGAGCCAAGTACTGCTTCTTATTTTCTGGGGCAATAGGAAATAGATTTCACACCTAAGAGATGAAAGAAATCTGAAACCAAACACGAATGGTCCCTCTTGATCACTTGGCAATTGGCCATTTCTTCTCCTACTTTTTTCCCAGCAGGTAGGTCAGTATAGTTAACCTTCACAACTTACATAGAGTTGGGTATAGAGACAGATGTTGAGATAATTGTTAATTTAAGCCAATTTTCAGTTTAAAATTTATGGGAAGATAATATTTGTAAGTACAGTGTTCCTATTGCTGTAGTTTGTGGATCATTATGTCTGGTGATGTAATATGAAAGGCATTCACTCCTCTATAATCATCCATTCATGGTAATTCTCCAGAGCGTTTGTTTTGGCTTATTGCCACTGAAAATGTGAAAGAAAAAGAAACTTTGTCTATTTCAAAAAGCACTGGTAAATGTAAATTATTGTCATGGGCAAGTTGGAGTTTTGAATTTTCCAAATTCCAATGGGTAAATGAATAATCAGGAGTTATGAGTGGCTCCTAAATGAGAAGGAAACGGTTAAGATTAGTGACCACAAAAAATTTAAAAAATTAGATTTCCAGTATATGCTACATTAGATTTCTTTCCATGTCTGGGAAATCTACTCATACTAGCACTAGGTAGTTCTTAGAGGAAAAAAAGAGAGAGAAGATGCCACTTTGGGAGATATCCTTCATCCTTCAAATAGTCACATGGGGGTTGTGCAGCAGTTTCCTTATTAGGAGACACTTGAAGCCTCCTATGTGGTGTTTCTCCATACCCAGACTAGAACTCTTCTGGGAGCTAACAGCAATTTATTTATTTAGGCCCTTGAAAACTTGTTGAACTCAGGATTCAGTGAATCTCATAGTGTTTCTTACTGAGTTATAAACCTTGAGGCAAAGTAGGTAAGTGTTAGAGTCAGTTATTTATTTTCTTGTTCTTTACATATTTCTCCATAGATGATTTCATTATACGATGGGACTATTCGGTTAATGACTATACATCTCTTAGCAAGAAATTGTCTGTTAATACATAGGACACTATTATATGTTGGTGTTAAGTTCCATTACTTAATGAAACTGAGTTAATGAAGAAAAAGTGTGCAATTCACAGAATTAATTAACAATAAGAACATAATGTACTATCACTTATTTGAAAAAATCTTTAACTTAAATAATTGCTTGGAAAGACTATTAATTTAAGACTAGAGTCACTTTACTACTGTAACCTGGAAAATGGAAAGAAGATATAAAAAAGAAGTTTTTATACCCTAGGAATCACATGTCATTTCTGAATAATCACATATTTTAAATAGTTTTACTGTAAGTGAAGTGTCATTATAGATTATTAAATATCATTAGCCAGTTCCAAAGTTTCCTGGGGGAGTGTGTCAGACTTTTGATGGGGAGGCTGTTGGGCTTATTTATTTCATTAAAAAATAATAATTCCTGGGAACCTGCAGTTAGCGTAATGGCTATGTCGCTGGACTCCCACGTAGTGGACTGCAGTTCGCGTCCTGGACCCGGTGGCTTAAAACTCACACCGGGTGCATGTGCATGCGTGCCCAAGATCCCGAGAGGAGAATGGAGGAGAAGGGATTGTGGCGTGGCCATCCCCCCTGGGGGGTGATTTCTCGCTTTCTGTCTCTATGTCTCTCTCTGTCTGTCTGGCAAGCGCACACGCCCTATAGCAAAAAAACCTCTAAAAAAAAATAATAATAATTCCAGCTTCTGAATTAAATAGTAATACATGTTATTGAAGAGTATTAGAAACATTGGAAAAAATAAAGATCATCTATCATTTTAGTTATAACTCATTAATTTTTTGCTATTCTTGTCTTTCTAGTCAGTTTTTTCTACCTTTTTTTGTTTTTAAAAGCACAAAAAAATTACGTTTATTATAAAAATTAAGACAAAACAGAACAAAAGATGGAAGTCATCTTGTTATGGGCTGAATTGTATCTTCTACCAAATTCATATATTTGAAGCCCCAAATCCCAGTATCTAAGAATGTGACTGTTTTGAGATAGGGTCTTTTTTTTCCTTCTTCTTCTTTTAATTTGCTATAGGACATGTGTGCTCTCTGGAGAGAGAGAGAGAGAGAGGGAAAGCAACTCCCGAGGGATGCCCATGCCACAATCCCTTCTCTTCCCTCTCTCTTTTTGAGATCTGGGGCACATACACACATGTGCCTGGTGTGGTTTTCAAGCTACTAGGTCCAGGACTTAAACCACACTGTTGGCTATGTGAGATCCAGTTGCTTTAACCACCACATCACTGGCCAGCCTGCGATGAGGCCATTAGAGTGGGCCCAATCTAATCTGACTGGTGTTCTTATAAAAAGAAAATGGTTGGATGCACAAAGGGATACCAGGTATGTGCCCTCACAGAGGAAAGGCCCGTAAGGACTCAGTGAGAGGGTGGCTCCCTACAAGCCAATGAATGAGAAGCTTTGGAAGAAACCAAAGCTACCAATACATTGATCTTGGACTTTAAGCCTCCAGACTTAGAAAATGATTTCTGTCAAAACTGTTGCATTTTGTTATGGCAGTTCTAGCAAACTAATATACACCATTTTTTCCTTTATTTTCCTTTTTTCTCAGAGGTAACCACTGAGAAAACTGTCCTTCCAGACATTTCCTATGCTTTTGCACAGGCATATAGCATAGAAAGTTTCATTGTTTACACGTGAATCATACTTATGGCTATTGGTTTGTGGTTTGCTCCCCCCCGCCCCCATTTAACTGTGTTTCATAGACAGCTTTCCACATCAATATCTGTGGGAAACCACCACCACATTTTTACTGACTACTGCATAGTTTTCCATTGGTACCACGATTTATTTTAACCATTCCATTATTGATGATTCCAGGAAGTTTGGAGAAGTTTGGAGTTCTAATTCATTTATATTACCAGTAATGTTGTGATAAGCCTCTTTTACATTTGAGGTTGAGCTCATATGCTAATATATCTGTAAGAATAATCAGATATGTGGAATCAAATAAATGGGATTGCTGTGTCAAATAAATCGCATGCCTTTAAAATTTGAAAGTTATTGTCAAATGGTCTTCCATAGAGGCTTAAGCAGCTTCTGGTTTTACTATACACACACACACACACACACACACACACACACACACACACATATATATACACATAAACACTAGAGAGAGACAGTGAGAGGGAACGTTATACAAACATGCACACATAAACACACATATATATAATATATGTGTGTGTATATATATCTATATACACATATATTCACATGCATATATGTGTATATATAGTGTGTATATATATTTATATATATACACACATAGCTCTGTCATTCAAAGTTTTTTTTTCTGTTTATAGTTGTGAGTGTATGTATATACATAGATAGATTTTTAAAATAACATCAAGACTGTACTATAAATATTTTTTTTAATTTTCCTTTAGTACTTTAGTCATAAATAGGAACTTTTCCCCTAGAAGAAAAAATTTAGTTTCTCTT